ATTATTTTTGTATATATATATATATATATATATATATATATATATAATGATTTTTTAAATAATTGAGAGGGGGCCGTGGGCCCCCCTGGACCTCATGTAGGTCCGTCTATGGTTGTATGATATTCATTAATATTATGGAAATTCAGATGTCACTGATACTGCTTCATGGTTCCTTTTTGATGGGATTCATATAAGTGCATTCACACATGTTGAGCTCGATTCAGATGTCACTGATACTGCTTCAAGGTTCCTTTTTGATGGGATTCATATAAGTGCATCCACACATGTTGAGCTCGATCGAGGATGTTATTATTGGGACAAGGTTTGTGATTTTTGTCGTTATTTATAGTGTACGATAATATGAAAAAAAATCAATTAATGTCACAAATCAGATAAAATCGAGAAAAAAATAGTTCATAGAGAATACTTCAGAAAATTTAGTGCTTACTGATGTTAGATGTGAAACTACAATACTCATCTCTTCTGCAAATTTTTATTATTTCCATTTCTAACTTTTTTGGTTGATGAATTGAAGATGACTGCTTGTCTATAGTAAGCAACTCTTCCAAGATTCGAGTGAAGAACATAGTGTGCGGGCCAGGCCACGGTATAAGGTAATGCAATTTTTTTTTTTTTTTTTTATATTCCCAATTTATATTAGAAACTTGACATTTAATCAGAAAAAAAAAAAACATGGGAAAGTAAAAAAAACACCCAGCAAACACTTGAGGGAAAAAAAAAAGCCAGTCTCCAGCTGCCAACAAAACAAACTTGACATCTCATCTCAATTCTCACTTCAGTTCAGACAAACACACACACAACACAACATTAATGTTCAGAAACATCGAAATCGAAAGGCAGAACAGAACCTAACACGACCCAAAACACCCAACTTACAGTTGACAGTTGTGTCTCTGCACGAGCAGTAAGATTACCGATCGAGCCCCAAACATCATCTCCAAAGAACTGATAGCAACAAAAGTCCCCCACATAAGAACCAGACGAGACCATAAAGTTCGAATTTTCCCAGTAATTCTCCATTTGCCCGAGTGGCGAATATTCAGACAAATCACAAAAAGGGAGCAAAGATTGTCCCCTACACACGATGATGTCATCATCCTTATACAGATTAATGTTATTATTACACGAGTCATCCGAGTCCTCACCGAGTAAAACGTGGAGTGCAACAGCCACGGATATTCTAGCACCTTTCTCATCAAGCCTTTCTTGTTCTTCCTTCTTTTTCTGCTTCTTTTTCTCAAGTTCCGAACGGATGGCAGCTGACATGGCAAGGGCCTTCTCGAGCCGCCTCTTCTTCTTCTCGGCCAGCTTAATTCGGTCGAGCTCGTGTTTAACCTGTTTTTTCTTTGCTTTTCTGACAGTTACTTTAGTACCTTCCATGATTATACTGTATATAGTTTCTTTTTCTTTTTTTCTTTTGGGCTTTTCACTAGAAAACTTCCCCTATGATGTATAATAACATTATCTACTAATTCCTATGTTACCCTTTGTTTTCTCAAAACTTGTTAATGAAATATTTTTATGAACTGAAGAGGAAAAAAACTCCGAGAGAAACGAAAAAAGGATGCTGAACAAGGGAAACTTATACAGTTATACCTACACCCACTCGGGTCTAAATGATTACCTCATTTTACGCACGCTACATTCCCAGGTAAGTGCTTATTAATCCGTTTTTCAGTGAAGAAGAAAAATTCTCTAGTTTGTTTATAACTGAAGAAGAACTAAAGAATAATGGCCTACACGAGCAGATCAAACTGAAGTACTGAACTACATTATGTTCCTAATTCCTATAACTCCACTTCACTAGAAAAGATCCAACTTTTAACACATAACTAAATTAAAAATTAAAATGTCATACAATTACTGAATTAATTTGCTTCCAAGAATTCTATAACCTTAAATCATGATTCAAACAACAAAGCTAGCCTAATTCAGATCCCCCAAACAAGAAAAAATGAAAGCTTTTGTCAGTCAATGAGAAGCCCACGCCCCTTGCAAAGATCTCCTAAATAAACTCGCCAATACACCCCAGGTTCGATCTAGAAATTCATTTTTTTTACACTACAATTACTTACAAGATCACTAAACCCACAATCTGAATCTCAAAAATAACCCCAAAAAAAAAAAATAAAAAAAAATTGCGCAACAATCAATATCCAATTAAAAAAACAGTCAAAGCATCTTCAACAGCACATCAACTCCTAGTTCTATTAATTTGTGTAGGCATTTTAAGTACAAGTATATATTAAGATCTTGAAATACCTACACAAATAAATAGAAAGTTGATGTACTTTTGAAGATACTTCGACTGTTTTTTTTTTTCACCATTGAATGCCTCGAAGAGACCTCCGTCTCCTCAAGCTTCAATTTGTTCCAAGCCTTTTGATTGTCATCCTCCATTTCCAACTCCTCAAACAAGTTTTCTGCAGCCGCCAAAGTCCTTTCGTCGAAACCTTTCAACTTTGTTCCCGTCAAGAAAGACCTCATTTTCACACTATCTCTCTGCTCCTTGCTCATTTTTTCTCTCTGTTTTTCACGGCGGCGTAAGTAGCGAGTGAAGTGAGGAGTTAGGTTTAAAACTAGGGTTCTCTTGAGGCCACCAAGTTTTTCAGACTGTTCATTAATCTGGCCCTAAATTTTTTGTGGGCCATAAATTATGGTAATGGACTACGACAGCAATCCTAATGTGTGGGCTAAGTTTTGATAGTGGAGTAATTAAATTGTTGGGATCAAGAATAAGAGCTT